CTGAATTGTCAGTTTGTTCTAAAAAGTACGTGCCCCACAATCAACTGATATAGTCCTTTAAAAATCTATAAGATGTGAACTTTCTGCCATTCTGAACACGCCCTGCCTACCATGCCCTGAGGGCCCTCCTGTGTACACGCGTCCTGAGCCACAGTGCTGCAGCTCGGCCTGAGCCACAGTGCTGCAGCTCGGCACCTCCACACGGTGTCTGCCACCGAGTCCCCCAGGCTCTCCTACACCATCGCATTGCCTCTCAAATATGCCCACCTTATTTAATGAGGGAGGCCTTTCCAGTCTACCCAGTACTATACTGATGCTGACATAAATCAACAATTTAAGTCTTTAAAAATCCTGTTACATAGGACCCAGCCTAATGGCCTAGTGGCTAAATCCTCACCTTGTATGCACCAGGATCCCGTATGGGCTCCAGCGGCTGCTCTACTTTCCATCCAGCTCCCAGACTGAGGCCTGGGAGAGCAGTGGAGGATGGCTCAAGGCCTTAGGACCCTGCACCCTCTAGGATCCTGGCTCCGGATCGGCTTGGCTCTGGCCGTTACCGCAACTTGGGAAGCCAGCCAGTGGACAGAAGATCTTTCTCCCCTTCTCTCCTCTCTGTGTATCTGCCTTTCCAATAAAAATAAATTTTTTAAAAAAGGTAATTTAAAATTATCTTACTTAAAACAAGACCTTTAAGCAAAACTAATACATTTACAAAGTGATTATACTTGCAAATTAAACAAGAAAAATATGCAAACTTGAGATTTCATTGTTATTTCCTCTAAAAGCAAATTAAACAACCAGCAGAGGGCACTCACAAAAGCTGGGGGGTGGGAGGGTGGGGGTGGAGAACGAGCTGGTCACAAGCTCAGGGAGAACCAACTGTACACACTGCTCAGTGTGTCTCTAAGGACAGAATGCTCCACTACACCACTGCAGTACGCCAAGGGTTAGCAGTGTACAAGAAACATGCTGTGAAGTTATTTTATGCTTAAAAAAATCTAACAAACCAACGCTAGGCCTTGCATCTGATAGGAAGAGATGCATGCTGTGTCTCACACCTGTCAGGACTGCCCCACCTCAGCACTAGGGACTTTTTGGAGCAGGTCACTGTGCTGTGGGTCACTGTGCTGGCCTCTCCCCTGGTCCAGCAGCAGTCCTCTCTCCCCAGGTTGCAACTACCAAAAAACGTCTCCAGAGGTTGACAACTTCCCCCGAGTGGCAAAGTCACCACCCTTCATTGCTAAGTACAGACATCTATGTGCAAAACCAGGAAAAAGAACAGCTGATCCCATTACGTAACATTTTTCCTAGACCACTCAATACTGGCTTAATATTATTTCTCTCTATAATCTAGAGACCTTATGCTGAGAGTAAAATGGAAAGTAAAAGAGAAACCAATAACCCTTGGTAAATGAAACACCCGTAGTGGAGAACACTGGAGAACGGAATAAATCCAACTCCATCAGGAACACACTCGGGCTCGCAGAGGAGGAACCCTTGCACCAAAAGGCTACCACTGGAACCGCACTGCAAGGGTGACCTAACAAAAGCAGGCCTCTGAAAAAGTTGTTCTGACTTCATATTTTTTACTAGCACTTTATATCCACTAGATACTCAATCTTTTGCTAATTAATCAAGGGTTGTGTCTGTAATTATCTCTAATTTTGAAGATAAGTTTCATCTTGGGAAAAAAATCTCAGAAAAATGTTTTTATATCAAGCGATCTCAATAAAGGCATATATTTTGTTTGGGGACTTGCTTTCAATGAGGTGTTTCCTTGTCTCCTGAGACTCTTCAGCAGACTTCACTGAAGGAAAGGAGAGGATCTTTCCTGACAGAATTCAAGGCGATTCCCATGTGCAAATCTCAAATACAGACCCACTCGGCCTAGGGTTAAATTCCGTACCATGTCACACTAAGCTCAAATTTCAGTGTGTTGATGCATTTGAATTAGTCTCTACTACTAAATATTTCCTTAACTCTATAAAAACAGCTAATTTTTGGTACTAGGAAAATTTCTTTTACGTTGTTTTCAGAAAATATATGTTTAAATCTCATCATTTATCGGCTAACTATCCTTAGATGGTCAGAACCTTCTCAGAGATCATTTTTAACTACAAACCAAACAGACCACCACCCTCCTGATCTCTCTTTGCAAATTCTGCATCACTAAAACAACACCATATTACTTTACTTGGAATGCTTTTAAATTTCCATTGTTTAAAATGGCAAAGCTGATAAAGATTTTCACCGTGCAGTCCATGTCCTCTTTTTCTCTGACCCCACGTTCCACAGTGATCAAAACCCCATCAGAGCAGCGCAATGACCTGTCTCCTACTTAACTTCCCGAGTAAGAGGAGTCCACACTGTGGGATCTGATCAACCATTTACTTACAAACCACGCGGTTCTCTTGCCTTTCTTATGGTTGAACTGAATACGTCAATTCTGTCAGAGACTCACTCTGACTTGGGAGATAAGAGATAACCTCAGATACCTTTTTCCAGGAAGCTAACCTGCATCTAAGGGAATGTCAGTTTCAAAGTTCACAGTCACTGCTCCCCAGAGTCAAATCTTCTGGTTTGGCAGAAATCCTGGAGCTATGCTGTACGTTGATGAATATTTTGCACTTTCCTCCCAAAGAATGGATTACTATTGGTTTTATTCTTTCCCTATTGTACTTGCAAGAATCCTGAGCAAAAGGTTTCCTACCCTATTGTATCAAATGCAGGCATGTTTGACCTAATGTTACAGGTATTCATGATCTGATAAGACAGTGCAATGGAATTTCTTAGAATTTCAGAGACAAAAAGCCATTTTTTATGAAGTCATCTTCCTAATTCCCAAAATTTCTAGTCTATTTAAACTTCCTTTTACACTTGATTTAAATAAGAGTATACCAAGTAACCTGCCCACTGAAACAGAAAACCACTCTTCTTAAAGATAAAAACAAAACTATAAATCAACATTAAACTGATTTATCCAAAGAAAAAAAACAGAATAAATAAGTAAAATCACATAAGTGGTCACTTCAATCAATTATTTCCCTTTAAACTTGAAAGCCAAAGAATAATGATAGTTATGTTTAAATAAAATCTTTGGAAATAAGCATTATTTTATCCAATTTTTGGTGGTACCAAACAACTTGATATTTTCCTTCCGATTAATTATTTTAACCAACCCTCAAAGTTCTGAGCCGGATGAACATTTTCCCAAGGCGCCAAGGGCCAGGGAAGCACCCCAGCGCAAAGTGTTTCTTTGAGACGTTACACAGCACAGCACCTCAAAATACTGCATGTGACCTGTCTTAATTCCCACAGGTTTGGACTTAGTCAAAGACTTGGGAAATCTTCCAGAACTCATTTAAAAATTGGTACGGCAGATCCAGGACAAAAATGAAGAGATTGGGATTGATTAATCTGGGGTAAAGAGAACTAAGAAATACTCTAAAATACTTTACAGATGAAATGCATATTTGTTTCCCCATTCATGTTCAATTTTGCAACACAACTTAGATTATGCACAAAATTCGCTAACACTTAACATCCTGAAAATGAGCTAACAGTTAGTTAAGGAAAGTCCTCACCTTGCACGTGACAGGGTCCCATATGGGCACCAGTTCTAATCCCAGCAGCCCTGCTTCCCACCCACCTCCCTGCCTGTGGCCTGGGAAAGCAGTCAGGGTGGTCCAAAGCCTTGGGACCCTGCACCTGCATGGGAGACTTGAAAGAGGCTCCAAGCTCCTTGGCAAGGTGAGGCTCGAAATAATTTAATAGTATGCCATATGTTCCTCTTTTGAAATCTCAGTAAGTTGGGGAATGAATCAATGGACAGAAGATCTTCCTTTTTGTCTCTTCTTCTCTCTGACTTTGCAATAAAAATAAATCTTTAAAAAAAAAAGAGAGAGAGAGACAATATCCCCTTCTCCCCTCCAGCAGGTCTCTAGGATTAAATAAACCTTTCTTTTCCTGGGAATCCTGTGAGTGTAACGCTGCCAAAAGGCACCAAAACTACCACCTGACCTCTTGGGGTCTCCTCCGGGGCTTTAGGTCACCACTATGCTGTGGGCTTCTGCTCTGGCGAGGTTTCAGGGAACTAAAAAATGAATCAAAGTAATCCTGAACAGCTTATTAAACTGTAATAAGAAAGCAATGTTAACATTTCCTTCAGAAGTTGTCAAAAGGTCACAAGCAAAAGCAAGCACTGGCAGTGTTTCTTTTAGAACCCACATCTCGAGTGAAGAATGAGTTTTTTAAAATGCATCATCCCAGATGGGCATGCAACGCAGCAGGGCAGTCACTGCTTCCCACGCTCAGACAGTCCTGCCTCTGCTCCGATCAGGCCTGCCAAGAACCACTGTGGCCTGGGGTCCAGTCACTGCAACAGACACCCAGATGTAGCCCATGGCTCCTGCCTTCAGCCTGCACCAGCCCTGGCTGCTGCCAGGCACCTGGGGAGTGAACCAGCAAACATCTTTCAAACTCAACCGCTCTCCCCACCCCCAGACACCTCATCACCATGCCTGAAAAATAAATGAACGTTTAAAAGAAATGCACCAGCAACTGTAGGATCTACAGCAGTTCAATGCTGAGACAACAACATTCCTAAATTGTTTAAATCAACCATCAAATATCAGTGATCACAATTCATTAGTATAATTCGGTCGTCTTCTACATGTGGTGTCAAAACATCCACTTCAAAATTCACATTTTCTCTCAAGTACAGCTGAGATGCAAATTCACATTTTCACTCTCACAAAAACTGAAACACACACTTCTGGTAGGAACACCCATAAACTGAAACCGAGCAGACCCCACGAATCCTGATACTCTCTACGTCGTTCTACTCAAAAGTCTCAGTCATGGCAACAAAAACATTTCAAATAACTTACTAAACACCTGTTACTCTAATTACCTTGTAGTAAGTGTTCTCCCAAACGATCAGAAAAGCCAAAGGGTGGCCCTTGGTGGCCCTGGCCACCACAGATTCCAGCCCCATTTACCTCTATCGTAGGGTCATATTCGTCCACAAAGTGGTTCTGAATCAGCTGTATCGTCAAGGCACTCTTGCCTACGCCACCAGCTCCAACTACCACAAGTTTATATTCCGTCATTTTCAGCAGGCCTTATAATAAAAATAATGAAAATAGGACGAAATTAGGTTAGTATTCTATCAAATATTCTATGCCCATCATTCAAAATACTCACCTTTATATGCGATATTACAGGGTATTTTTGAAACTCAGTGATGAAGATTCAATGAGGAAAAATACACATCTCCAGTTGACTAGAGATGTGTATTTCACTGAATGCAAATACATGTGCATGTACTGATCTTCATCTACAAACTCCCGCACCAACATCTAAGAAAACTGCCCGCCAGCTTCATGGACAGCTCCTCTATCTCACATCCAGGCCATCCCTCTGAACAGGCGACTGTGCCAGCTAATGGCTCTCCAAAGAACATACCATGACTTCCCCAAGTACAAGTGCCTCGCACAGCCCTCTATACCCTGCAGACACACCCACACAGACTTGTTGACAGCCGTCTGCACTCCTACGGGCGCAGTCCTCCCAGCTCACTCGCCTCTGAGGGCTGAAGTGGGCTGTTCAGAGTGCTTCTGTCTGACAGCCAGCAGCTAGAGAAAGCCTTTTTCATCAGGCTTCACAGGCTAGTTCTCCACAGATATAACCCATCACACAGCGGCTGGAGGAACCACTCAAACAAAGCTGGACTGTCAGGAAGAAATAAAGAATTAGACACTGAAGCAGGTTAAGAAAGCATCTGATGGCAATTTCCAGCTGTAAAATATTTTCTGGGAAAAATAAGGTAACTACCAAGAGATATTTGGGAATATTAAGCGACCTGCCCAGTACAGGTGATCTAATCATCATCAACTATGATACAGAATCCTGCAGCAGTGCAGCCAACAGCCTGCTCACATGAGAAAAGCATACTTACACAAAATTCAGTAAAAAAAAAAAAGTTTAAGGCTGTAAGTGAATATTGCTCAGTAATTCAGGTGACTTACTCTCTTGACTTCTTTTACACATCCTAACAGGTGCAATAAACAATGACAATACATACCGTTTTATACATAACATAGAAAACAAAATCCAGGGATTGGCACCATGGCATAGCATGTTAAGTCTTCCACTGGTGGTGCCAGCATCCTATATGGACTCAAAATCTGTATTTGAGTCCCTGACTGCTCCATTTTCAATTCAGCTCCCTGCTAACAGCCTGGGAAAGCAGCGGGTAATGGCCCAAGTGTATGGGTCTCCACACCCATGTAAGAGACCCGGAAGAAGCCCTTGGCTGTTGGCTTTGGACCAGCCTAACTCCACTCACTGTAGCCATCTGAGGAGCGAACAAGAGGATAGAAGAATTTTGCTAACTATGCCTTTCAAATACAAATAAAATAAATCTTTACAAATATATTTTAATCTGTTATTTTCAACTTTTTTTTCAAGTGTCTTTTTCTCCTTTCCCTTATACAACAAATTATTACAAATAAGTGCAGAAGGGGACAGTAGATGCACAGTGATTTTTAAAATAGGGTAAGCAGTTTGAGTCACATGTACAGACCATTCTATTCACTAAACACCAAGAAACATCCAAACGGGCAGTACCCCCACCCACACCCTCCTCACCCTATTCCTGAACCTCCTGGAGCAGGTGCCAGACAAGGGCACTGTGTGGGTCCCACAGGTGGCCCCAGTGCAGCTCTATCTAGCACACAGCTGACAGCGGCGCCAACATCAGCCCCTGCCTGTCCAGGTCCAAGTGCAGACAACTGCAAAGGGGAGAGGAGAACTCCACCCAAACATTTTCTCTAGCTCCCTGCCTACCTCCACTCCCAAAGCAGTCTGCCCAAAATGCAGGTGAGGAGTCCGTCAGGGGCCCACGCTGTACTGGGACCCAAGAGGTCAAAGCCACCTTCCTACTAACCATAAGCGTCCCTGGCCCCAGGCTCCTCCACTGCCCAGTGTACAGCAGTTTTCCAGACCTGCAATCACGACCAACTGCACCGAGACGCAGCCAGGAGAGTCCAGATGTCTTCTATTAAGCCATATGATTAAAGGGAGCTACTGAAGTGTGAAACAGTGCCACTCTAATTCTTGGTTTTGTTCTGGAAAACAGTTTTCTTCAAAAAATTGACTCATGCTACCAAGTAATGAACTTATTTATTTGTCTAAATGAATTCAAATAGTTAGAAAAACATGCTCAGCTTCATGTCCAATATAGTAACTCCTGGTAAGACCTGCCACGAGCGTTTTTGATAGTCTCAGTTTTTTAAGAGCGTAAGATCAAAGACCTTGCCAGCCTGGGAGACACGGTGGACAGCGGATCACAGCTGAGCTGTGCACGCACGGGTGGATTCCCAGGCACACCTCTCAGTCTGTATGTTTACACAGTGGTTGTTGTGACAAGAACCCGGAGGGAAAAAAAAAAAAGATTCACATCTTTAACACCAAGAAACATTAGAACTAGGTAGGTAAGATCTTAGGCTAGAAGGGGCTTCTCACCCCAAATTACAACAGCTAGCAAGAAATGAAGGTGGGACTAGAACCCAAGGGGGAAAAAACACACTTTCATTTGTTGTAAAGCTGAACTGCCATCTAGCCTCTCTTTCAAAGGAAACCTGCTGGCAGCTGGCCACAGCGGCAGCATGGACAGCCACCCAGCACAGGCAGCGTCAGCTCTGGGGACCCGCGGCTGACATCAGCCATCGGGTTAATTCTGAGACAACCACAGCGAACACACTGGTTTCTTCTCACTGGTTTCTTGTCTAGCACCACCACCTAGCAGAAAACAGCTTCGTCTGGAACCCGCTGTCGGGAAGGCCAGCAGGGTCTAAGCTGGGGCCTTCAGCTCTCAGGGGCGCATGCCTCAGGAGTTGCTTTAGGGCTACAAGGAACTCCTCGGAGTCAGTTTTTGAAACCACCTTTTGGGAGTCCTGCGCTAACTCCTGGAATCGGGAGCAGACTGGCGAGGATAAAGGCAGTGGCGAGCATGGGGGCCCTTCCCACTGCAAGCACTGGGTCACCAGCCACCGCCGCCTGCACGCCACCAGCCAGGAAACCTCGCTGCACAAAGCCCCACGGGCCTCCTGGGACCAACTTTTTCCTTCTTCGCCGTAAGTCACCGGCTTTCCCGTGCAAGGGTGTGGGCCACCTGTTCTTGCACCACCGTCCCTTCCCACCTCCACCCCCTCCTTTGTGGCCGCGGCAATGTCACAGCCCATAGATGGGGGGAGGGGAGCGGCCAGCAAGTCGGGCGGCAGATGCGGGTGTGTCTGTGTGTGTGTGTGTGTGTGTGCACGTTTCCAAACACAATAACCTCCAACAGTGGTCTCTAAAGCACTTGCCTAGGTGCTTCCCAGCCCCCCATCTCCCCCTGTAGCGCACGCACACACACACACACACAGCTCCCCCTCCACGCCGGCCTCGGGACCTCGCTCCCTCACAACCCAGGAGAACAAGTTCAGCCCTGGAGATGGCGGGTGGGCAGCAGGAAGGGTGGCGGGGCGCGGGGGACAGACCCGGCGAGCCGCGGGGGAGGGGAGGCCGAGCGCGGCGGCGGCAGTCACCTCCACCGCCTCCGGCCGCGGCCCTGGCGAGGGAGGAGGAAGGAACGGGTTCCCCCGTCCAGGAAGCAACCCCGGCGGCGGCCGCCTCCAAAAGCCTCGCCCTCCTCCTCCTCCTCCTCATCTTCACCCGCGTCGCCCCCATTCCCCTCGTTCCTCGCCCTCCGCCCCGCGACACCCGCACCCCCACCCAGCCACCCCGCCCGCCGCCCGCCACCGCCGGGGGAGACTCCGCACCCCGCCCACCCGCCAGACTTCCCTTCCGGGACCCCCTTTCCTGCCCCCCTCAGCCCCTCTAATTCATTCACGGGCCGCCGGCCGCGCCCCAACACCCGGGCGACGGGCCGTCGGGACCCGGTTAGGGGCCCCCCGGGAGGCGGTGGTCCCGCCGCTCCCTACCTCTCTCTCTCCCCCGCACCTGGGAGCCGCCGAGCCTCAGGCGCCCGCCGCAGTCCTCAGGGCCCGCGCCAGTCCGAAATGGCGGGGGTGGGGCCGGGAATCCTGGCCGAAGCAGCCGCCACCGCTGCCGCCGCCGCCGTAGCCGCCGCAGCCGCCACCACCACCAGCAGCAGCCGCCGCCGCCACCACGGTCGCCGCCGCCACTAAGGAAATCGAGCTCCGAGCGCACCGATGAGGCCGGAGCCGCGCGGCCGCAGAGGGCAGAGCTCTCGATGCGCTCAAGGCTCGATTCCTCTTCAGACCGGCGCTGAGGAGGGAGCGGCTAAGAGGGCGGTGTGGGAAGAGGACGGCCGTGCGCGCCGCCGGGGAGGAGGAGAAGGAGGAGGAGGAGGAGGCCGGCTCGGGCCCGCCGAGGAGGAGCGGGAGGCCGGGCCTGCCTGAGGAAGGGCTGGCTGGGGCTGTGGAGGGTGGGCAGCCCGGCGGCTGAGGAGCGGCCTGGGCGGCGCCTCGGCGCGGAGGAGGGGCTGCGGGACCCACGCGGTGGCCGCCCCCGGGCTGCTGGCCCCAGGGCCCGCCCCACAGCAGCCGCAGGTTCGGACCCAGCCGGCCCTCGGGCGCTGTGCGACGCCCACCCCACAAGGCCCGCGGTCCTCCCGCGTCTTCCCGGAGAAGCACCCCCTCCTCCCCCTTAGATCTCGCCAATCCTCAGCGTCAGCCTGAGCTGGAACGCACCCTTTTTACGGTCCCTAAAACACGCCGTCACCAGATGAAGCAGGCGACCGGCGGTGGCTTGGGGAGAGGGGCGTGGGGGGAGAGGATGGCCGGGCCATTCCGTCAGCCCCCTGAGCTTGGAGATCGCGGCTGATTATTATTATCAGCCTGGACACCGGGGCTGGGAACCTAGCTCCGGGCCCAAACAAACGCCACCGGCCCTTTCTCGGTGTGGGAATCTGGTATGGCTTGTTGTTTCTCTGGGTACTTGGAAGCCATGGAGGGACCTCCGAGGTTCCCGCTCCCAAAGCACAAAATCAGAAGGCCAGTTCCTTTTAAGTGAGTGGATCCAAGGCACACAAAGTTGGGGCGATTGAACGTCTCAGCAGGCCCACAGCCTGCCAAGGCCTTGAGGAATGGGGCAGCCCAGCCAGCCCCTATAGCTAGTAGGACCCCACCCATTTGAGTCTTCCATTTCCTTCCCTCTCTCTAGCCCACACCACAAAGCACTAATTCGGCTATTTTAGATCCCGGCCATTATGTCTGTTAAGCAAGGCTTTACCTGAGCGATCGCTCTCTTCTCTCCACCCTGGTAAGGGCTGTGATCTGCGAGACTCTGATTCCAGCCTCCCCCTCCGAGCGCCAGGTGGGAGGCGGATGAATGAGACAGGTGGGGAAAGAGCATGCCTGCTGTATGTCAAGTGTTGGCAAAATGTTTTGCACATATCATCTTATTTAATCACCAAAACAACCTCCTGCGGTTGAATCCTTTTCATTTTCCTACATAGATCAAGTGAAGCTGGGAAGGATTCCTAAGAGCAGATCCTAACCCCGCAGTGACTCCTATGCCACTTAACATAAGAGCAGAACTCTTGTCCTAACATCTTTTCAGTTCACTTTGGATGAGTTTTTTGGCATAGAAGCACAAAGCCTCCTCCATCAGCTACTTTAGATCTGTCTTCAAGTCGCCCTTTATTTCTTTCGGAGAGGAGAGGGTGCCTGGTTCTCTCAAATACTTGCAGCAACTCTGAGACATGGAAGCTGGTGCCCGGAATTGTCTAGAACTCCGCTGTGAGTGCTGAGGACCTGGCTAAGGGAGACATTACCCACTGCCTCCCCGGGTCTGCATCGGATAGAAGCTAGAATCACCAAGTGGAGCTTGCCCAGGCACCCTGTCAGAGCACAGGTGTGTCCCAAGAGGCCCTTTGGTCACTAAGTCAAAGGTTGACAGCCAAACATCTTTGACCTTGAAGTCTTCCCAAGATCATCTTTCATAATGCAACTCCCCTCTAGCCTCCAAATCCTGCCTTTCTTCCTTCTTTATTTTTCTTGAGCACTAATGACATTCTAATGTACTATGTATTTTTTTTTTCTTATTATGCCTGGGTTACTCCCACTGGGACGTAACCTGCACAGATTTTTGCCTGTGTTGCTTAGTGTTACATGTGTAGAGCCTACACACAGCATACACACAGCAGTCTCTCACACAGTACAGACGTATGGAATTTCAAATCAATGAGCCTAGGTAGCCCTTTTGCAAACTCCGTGACTATTAGTCCTTCCCTACACAGTGTACCTTAAACCTGCATCAAGCTCTGTTTTCACCATTTACAAAACCTGCCTTTAAAAGGACTCAGGTCATCTTCTAAAAGCTACAGCCTATGGAGTTGAACAAAAAAAAAAAAATGTACTTGGTATATAATGGACACATGCATTTTTGTTAAGTAAATGAATTTTGAATGATTTGTATGTTGCATTATGGTCACTCCTTTTTTGAAGATTTATTTGAAAGAGTAATAAAGTGAGTGTGTATGTGTGTGTGTGTGTGGGGGGGAATCTTTCATCCACTAATTCACTCCTCAAATAGCAGCTACAACTTAAGGCTGGGTTAGACCAGTTCCAGGAGCCAGGAGCTTCTTCCAGGTTTCCTTCACTGATATCCCAGATGCATTAGCAGGGAGCTGGATCCAAAGTAGAGCATCTGGGACTTGAACCAGTGCCCATATGGGATGCTGGCATTGCAGGAGGCAGCTTAACCTTAACCTGCTATGCTACAGCACCAGCTCTGATGGTCATTCTTAAGTATAAACCAGAATGTAACATGCATTATAACTCTTGATTTCACTTATGGCAATAAATATGTTGTCCCTGTTGTGTTGCATAAATCTTTAAGTATTACATTAAAAGGAGGGGAGAGCAGTGTAATGCACTTTTATGCTAACTATCAGAGTTCTGGCACTAGCAGAAACCTAGTGCACCTGTGCAGTCTGTTATCCTTGAGGCCCGTGATTCCCAGCAGAAAACCTGCATCCAACCAAGGGTGCTTCCTCTAGCTTCTCCTCGCATGCCTTCTCCTTTTTCATCCTCACAGCAATTCACATACACGCTGTGTCCAGACTTTCTACCATTCAGTCCTGAGGGCCTTCTCAGAAGTGGCAGCCCCCCTGAAACATTCCTCAGTTTCCTTAACCTAGAACTTCTTTAGCACTCAAAGATGAATGCCTCGGGCATCACTCACAATGCTAATCAAAAATGTGCAAGGTCCTAGGCTCCTGCCCTGGATTCTCCATTCAGCTGGTGTAAAGTGGGCTAGGAATCTCTATGTCTAATAAAGCAGGTGATCCCAAACTGGTGCTAAGCTAAATGCTCTGATCAACAGCCATGCCCCTCCTGTCTTGGGGCATCATCTTGTCTTGCCTCTTCCCACCTGGCTGTTTCCCCCAGGGACAAGCATCCAATCCATGAACGGAAACAGCAGGGGGAAAAACAAAGATAGAAACCACGGGGATTCCAGGCCCACTCTAAGACAGAGCTGAAGCCGAGGCTGGCCACTGCTCAGCTCTGCTGGGAGGCCACACCCGTACAGGTGTATGACGCTTCTGGTCTGCGGCCTGAGGACCACGCTCACCGCTCATGAGACCGCTCTGCTGCAGATAGAGGCCCTAGTGAATGCTGAGAAGTGAAGGAAACAAGGACCCCTCTGAAAGCCACATCATCATCCCGGGAGTTGACAGTTGGATCGAGGAATCCACTGTACTTCTTGTGATCCCACAACGGGCAGTCACACCCGCCTCATCCCCTCATTTAACACCTGTGGCCTGTGACTCCAAATTTTGCCATTCCAATGAGCCAGAATCTGTCTGTTGCTTTTTCACAGTCTCAGGTTACCCTGCTCTCAGTACTCCATTGATCATGCCGACTCACACCCCAGCACTCCGAGGAAGATCTCACCATTCACTGTTCAACGGGAGGGGCCTCTGCGTGACACCGTTCTCCTGGTTGGTGGCTGGCCTTCTGTACGTCTGCCTAAAAGACCATTGTCTCTGTGTGCCAGCCCTGGTCTGGGACAGTTGTGTCTTGACAGAATAATGGGATACAGGGCAAGAGCACTTAGCAAGAGGAAATGCCTATGGATGCGTTCCTGGACTCGGCTTCCCAACAACCTTTTTTCTCCTGTGGGAAGTTTGTGGAAATGAATAGGTGCTATTTGGCTTACCAACACTTTATCTCCTCCAGACGCTGATTTCATTAGACATCATATTTCTCTGGTGCGTATCTGTTTTCTCCATAGCTCTCAGCACACAGTGCATCGGCTGTAAATAGTTGTTGAAGGGAATATAATTACAACGAAACTTCTGCTCCATCTTTTCCTAATCACTTTATTTGTGTTGAGCTGATTGCCTGGATCATTTCTAGCGGAATATCCTGCCATCATCTCAAAGGCCTGCCTATAACCAAATTCCCCGTCGCATTCCTCAAACCGGCCCCCTCTCGATTCTGTGATGCTATCTGAGTGGCGTCACAGACCTTCACAATATTTAGACCTGGGATAAACAAATCTTTTTTTTTTAAAGAGTATTTATTTATTTATTTGTTTTTTTTTTCTTTTTTGAAAGAACATTTCGATCTGAAAAATTAATGCCATCCACACTCAGATCTGAGATCGCGCCTTCTAATCACGCTTCCTCGCTATTTTGTTCCTCTCTGCCTCTTTGTCATTGCTTCCTTCAAGGCCACGTTTTCTGGAACAGCTTCTTCATACCTTGTCTGCCTCCTGGCTCTCTTTTCGATTCAGGCCATGTGTAATTGCCAAATTAGCCTTCTGTGAGCCTGTCTTTCATCATCATCAAACACCCTGTACCTACTCTGTCTAGGCAGCCCGCAGACAAGTTATCTAGTTTTAAAGTGCACAGCGTATAAACTGAGGACCTAATGAACACCTGACCATGATAAGTACGTTGGAAATTACAGGGGCAGATGCTCACCAGGCTCGCTAAACCTTCACTCAGGCTTAATCTTGCTTACAAATATTGACTAATGTCTTCCATCCAGCTGAATCCAGTCCAACCCCTGGGTGCCCAACCTTTAAGAACATTGTTCGTCTGGCATCATCCTGACTCTGTGACTTTGTTTCCCAATTTTTCAAGATGAATATTCTCCTCTCCTTCAGCAGATACCATCTCCATATCATGAACATAAATATAGTGGG